ATCTATCATGTTTTCATGTTAATTAAAAATGTATAGTATCCAATTTGTTTATTGTATTTTTTGTATACAGAATGTAAATATAGTTTAGAAGAAAAACAACTTTATGTGCATATTCAAGCCAGCAGTGGTACTTTTAGTGTTGACAGAATTTGGATGTGTAAGCTATTTTTCAACATTTCAGTTGAGTTTTCTCGTCTGCAGTTGTCTATGTAGAAACGGTAAGGTCATAAGGGCTAGAGAGGGTAAGTTAATTTAAGGTTAGGTTAGGTTAACTTGTGTGATGTTGAGTCTCGATTATACAAGATTATTATTTATAAAATATAAAATCGTAGATAACCGTGACTAAAATTAAACATTATATGGACCAGCTTAGAGTAAATGGTATCCATATTATAATTTTATATCAAAGTATGAATAATACCGTAGTTTTTTGGAAAAATCATTGTTCTAAATTAAAAATATCTTTAACATTTTCGGGTGTCGAATTTGATTAATTTCAGTATATTTTGTCGCCATACCCTTTCAGCTTGCCGTACCCGTCACCAGGTAAAACCAGCTTGAAATTTACATAATATTAATGTACGTATAATGTGTAACTATAGCTACGGTAAGGATAATGTACGTATAATGTGTATTGGCAGTATTTTGTTTTGCCAAGAGGCAAGACGCATTATGACGGCGTACGCTAAAATATGATTATACCTACACACCTTAATACGACCATGCGAATATGGAAATCACGCGATTTGTCGTATTATGAATGGAAAATGTACTTAGAACCTGCACCTAGAAATTATTTTTATGATTATTTAATGTTGAGATGATTTAACAATACACGGAAAAAATATAAAGACATCTACAGCGCCATATTTTGGAGAGTAATCAAGATAAAATAAAATTTGTTTTGTTTGTTCATGCAACTTTGTTTGTAGAATCCGAATACAAAAATAACTAAAAATACCCACTTGTTGAGTTGTTACAGTTTTGATCTAGGTGTGCGATATATTTCGTCAAATTCCATTGAAATCGTAAGGAGAAGCTGAAAAAATTCTTTAGATTATATGTTTAAAAAAAAACACGAATTTAATGCTTAGTAGTATTAGGACAAAAATCCAAATCGAGTATTTGTTCAAGTACGTGTAAACATATTAAAACATGACCAAAAGGAGAATCGGATTTTAACACAAAGGACTTGTCCTCTGGCAAGCACGTCTATGCTATATCGACGTGATAATCGTTTCGCTTGGCATTAACAGGATTTTATCAACAGAAGGAAATTGAATTTACTCTACTTTTTTTGCCAACTAATTCAATTTAGTTTTGATTGACTTAATAAAAAGCCGTTAAAAATAAAATATTTTACACAAGAGTCTACATTTTGTTTATTAGCTGTAATATACACAATACGTAAAAGAAGAGACACACTATTAAAATGAGTTGTTGGTTTAACGTATTTTTAAGGCATACACGAAAACTCAGAAAACCAAGTAAGACCAAGTGGAGTAGTTGTAACAAAAGGGAATAGATGGAATACAAAATGGTTTACAAACGTAAATGTCTTTCATTTCAGAAAAATGATGATTGTTAAAACTGTTTCCCGGGAAAAATAAGTACCATTTAAATAATACAAATATTATTTCAAACCCCTGATTAAATATAGTCAAACTATATTATCGTCTTCATTCTTAGGACTTAGCCCATTAGAAAAATATGATAAATCCACAAAGGAGATAATATTATTACACTAGCACCGTTTTGCTCTGCTAATGTGAAATCGAGTGTTGGAAAGGTCCGGCTGTGCCAAAAATATGGATACCACTAATTCATGTTCGACCATATTATTATAAAAATAAATATTACCTTCATCCCTGTGCCAAAAGCATAGTAATAATCGTCAGTCTGGCACGCGTGCACGACATGGATCTTTATGTATAATCGTGGTTACAATAACGAGGAACCGAGTTTTTCCAACCGTACGACAAATATCGTTACCATAGATAATGTTAATATTAGTTCTAACTAGCTTATTAAAAACTCATTACCGTAATAATTACTACATGAAAATTTATCACCAACTGCTGAGTCCGGGCAACCGTGTTGACATTACTTGAGTTTTGTAAACGACCATCGCTGCTATTAAGACGAGTGAACTTTTTGACTTAAATAGATGGCCAGACTCGTTGTGTGTACTGAAAGAACACCTAACAAGTACCGTTGTTAGTTATTACAAAAACAAAATTGGACACAAACACTACTAATATGAATAAGTGGATAAAAAATAGCAAGGCATTTTTTTTGAGAAAAAATTATATTTGATAGTTTTATTACTCGTCGACAAATAATTGTTTCGCCACAATCCATGAAATATTAATTTTAAACCAGATTAAGGTCTTTTTACTATAATATCACTAACCTGGGCCTAGATTTTTATAAGTTATAAATATTTAAAAACAAATTGCAATTAAAACTTCAAAGTCCATATTTATTTTTCGTGTAAAAACCACTTAAGTGTTTTATAAAATACAAAGTCTAAGCTTATAAAATTTAATATTCACCATAATGTTCTATTCATTAAAAAATTATCATTATCATTAAATATAATTTACATTAAAAACAAGGATTTCTTACCAGAATTAACAGCCAATAAACTTTTTTTGCACCTACTCACCAATATAGTTACATAAATTTGCAAAAAAAAAACCAATTATTTAGTATAAAAAAAAGCTAGTTCTTATATAGATATGTCGTATTAAAATTATTTCTTTTTGTATGTGTACAATACACCATTGTTAAAAAAATATATGGTGTCTTGTACACATGCAAAAAGAAATAATTTTAATACGACATATCTATAACTTATAAGTCTTATAAGTTATACATAACCTGAAAAAGAATAGGTATCCGGTGAGTTTAAATAATATTGTTTGTTTACTTATTTTATAAATAAATAATATTATGATTTAAAGGTGTTTTAATGTAGTACGTTTGAACACAATATCGTTTACTCAAAGTGTGTATAGATATTTATTTACAACACTAAATTGATCGAAATTGATAATTAAAAGAAGAACATTAATGGAAGTTTTCGAATTTAAAGTATAGTGGTATAGGATTACGTTTATGATGGATTTACATGAAAGCCGTTTGAGAGGAATTTGTGCAGTGCAGATAATGCAGTAACATAACATTTAAAGAAAAAAGTTAACAACCGAACACCGCAGTTATTCATAATAATGGTGCAAGGAGTGAAGTCAGACTTTGTCTCAGGAAGTAAATGTACTTTGGTATGGTGAAGTCCAAACATTGCATAAATTTATTTTCCCGTGCGCGTTGTCAAACAGTTTTTAATGATTAAATTTCGATGATCATTAATTTTATCTACATTTACATTGTAATGCAATATGTTTAGATATATTATGTGTACGTACAGTGATTAATTCTGTTTGCGGTTTGTGTATGTATTCTATAATATGTGTTTGTATAATACATTTCATGTCACACAACAAGTTATCGATTGGCACGATGCAAGATTTTTATTCTCTCCGCAAGCGTGTGCAATTTTTCAGCTCGCAGCATCTTTCGCAGATATTTGAAAAGGGAAAATAATATATGTAGCATAACATTTATTAACTTAAAAATTGCAATGGCAATGAAGAAAAAACCATTCCCATAGTTCTTTATGATGGACCGGGTGAGTATTTGAAAATGGAGTCCAGGCTAGTCTACGCTCGTCAATTTCTGTAAAAAATAATTTGTAGCACTATTTCAGAAATTTTATTTAAAAATAATATTTAATTCCCTCCAATTTTATCACGGGAGTGCAAAATTATAATTTCCCTTATATGTATGTCCCACGGCGTGTTAGAAAACATAAAAACTTTTTTTGTGTATAATTACCTATAGTGAAAGAATAAGCATTATTTTTTATTATAACTTCTTAGTATGTTGATGTTTCTATTTCGTTAAAAAGCGTCCAATTTACTGGTAAACAAACATTGATCCATCGATCACGATTTATCCATTCGCTGTAGATATATTACAAGAAGAAATAGCTGTCAAGCTAGCTCAAAAAAGTCTATTGTGGTTAAACAGTTCAAACGTAAAAAATAATAATATTAATAGACACATTGTTGTAAAAACCATTACCAACTACAGCTGTTCGCACAAATTCAAATAACACTTCTTTAAACAATCTATACAGGTAATCTGTTAGATGAAAATGGTTTTGATTAAAAAAATAATACTCTTTCGGATAACGCATTTCAGATTTTGGTGTAGAATTAATAACCGATCTAAAACGATTCGTGTCGAAAAAGTTGCATTTAAGGGGATAACGACCGGAAACGGAGTGGAGATAACGGCTTTTGTAATGGTTCCTAGTAATTGTAAACGTTTTTCGTTTTAGTTAAATTTTCCGTTTTCCAGATCACTGATGAGCCATAGAGCATAAATCTAGGAGTTTTTCGCAGTTACACAGTCCGCAGTCGTTTAATTTTCTATTTTTATTAATTTATGAACTAAAATGTGTATAAATAAAAAAAAAACACTTTGTTTACATTCAATGACGTTTTTTTTTAAAAACATTATTTATGATTTATTAACATAAAATCGTAAAAAGGGGGAGGTAAAATAAAACAGTTTTATCCTCTCCGCGAAAACGGCACTTTACTGCCAAACCATTATATTTCAATAGGAAACTTTTTATCAAACATACATTTCGCTTTCATAATAACCGTAACCGTGTAGTGAAAACAAAACCCTTTTGGTAACTCTGCGGCCGAGCCATTCGCGACACATACGGTACTATAACAGTGTCTCTGTGTATGCACATGACTGCATCGGTTTTTTACCTATATAATAAGTAGTTGGACATGGTTGTGGGCGGATGAATTTTATCGCCGTTGTTGGTTTTTCGTACGCGCCGAGGGCAAAGCTCGAGGCTTACCGCGGCGTTGGACCTGGGCCGTGCCCGTGAAAATTCGCCGCAGTCGTGCCACGCGTTCAGGACGACTAACACGTTTGGCCTCCACGACGTCGGCCGGTCCCAACAGTATCGACTTGCGTGTCTTGCCGGACGTGCTATTTTGGCATTTACAGTGTAGATTGTATTGCAACAGAAGTGCACCGTGAAGTCTTAAAGGGGCGAAAATTACAACCGCGACATGACGGCAAAACCAAAAAGGACTCCATTCGGTTTGTGCGCGTTAACACCTATCATCTGATTAGTCCACCCGACAGTAAACATATAAACACTCCCGCGACAGGTATGTTTTTTTGAAATACGAATGACTTGCTCAGAAATTTGTTTATTTTCGTTTTCCAAAAAAATAAATATAACGAGCCCCGGCTGTACAGGTTGTTTGTGAGGAGAACTCTGTATAGGAAAAATCAAAAACTGATCAACTAATCTTCTAAGAGGATGCCATACCCCTTAAGTATTTATTAAGGGCACTGATGTAAGTAATTTTTGCCAAAATTCCTTTTTTAAAAAAAACCGGCTACTTTTATTACTCGTAATACTGTAACTCGAAACTTTTAACTAATATTATAAACAAAAAAATGAACTGTTTTTAAAACGCAGTAACACCATGTTAAGTATTTTTAGACTCACTGTCATGCAAAAAAAATAAATATAAATAAATATACGACTGTGTTAATTGTCGCTACTTGAATATTTTAATATCTGTCTAATATTTGGAAAAAAAAAATATTTTACAGTATACGAATTGAATGGTACAACCGTACAGAAGAATTATTTTTATAATAAAATACTCGAAAGGGTTCGATGCGATACACTTAGGCATCCGATCAGCAAAAAAAAGTAGCAATAATCATTGTAGCGACCTGTGCTTATAAACAGGGATTAATAGAAGTTGAAAATACAATTGAATTTTGACTCGGAGGATAAAACTCCAAAGGTATTTTATTATTTAGTGACTTTCTTTTCCTGGTAGAAATGTCAAATTAACTTAAAAATTAAAAAAATATTCAGTATTTTTAATTTACCGTATAGATTTGAAAGTAAATTAATTTAATAATTTTAGTAGATCATCGTTGTAGTTGTGAACCATCAGAATTTGAAAATACTTTGAGCATATTAAATTAAGTTATAATCATTCATAAGTTATTATGATCGATATATCATAGGACGAGAAGTGCTGTTAATTTTTTTTACAAACTATTATATTTACTTTTTAATATTTTTAATAGGTATATTTGTATTATAAATATAGACCGATTTAGTCGCGAAAATATTTTTTTATCACAATACAGCTTTTTTTCTTGTTTGAATGGGATGTAGTGTATCAGTAAACTTAGGCAATAATTTAAAATTATGGACTATTAGAAATAATGATACTTAACGGCTCAGTTCAGTAGTTTTTCACATAAATACAAGTTAAGGTACAAATTCGCGACTCTGTTAAATATAATATTGCTACACAAAGTTTAATACATTTTTTTATGTATCTAAAAATATTTAAGACAGCACATGGCTTTAAACGTTCAATTTTTATTGGTTTTCATCGATGTAATTGACTTTTAAACTATTATGTTATTATACTAGTTGTAGAGTGCATTTATGTATATTATACATTCATAATATACACAAAGTACTACACAAAATAACATTTCGTCTCTTGATTTTATCATCTTTTTGAATAAGTTAACTCTAATCTGAAACATCACTGGGGAGCTGTACAAAAATAACACGGGTCAAAATTAAAATATTTATTTGTTTTTTCAATATTAAGAACAGTTAGCACAGGTGTCACCTATGTAGTACATACAATATTTTTATGACTTCCACTACATAAAAAATTAAATTGTCAACATTATAGCTTGTAAGTTTTATTTTATCTTACATTTATAAACACTTCTACGTATATGTTGAAAGTTTAAAGAAATACAAATTTGTAGGTTGTATGAAATATAGATAGCTAAAAAAGTTTATATATTACCCGTATTACACCAATGTATAAATTGTGTATACTATATTTTGAAATTCTTAAAATCTTTACTGAGAAATGTCTAAAAGTAACAAGTTTTTTAGTTAGATTTTTTAGCCTTACCATAATAATTTGTTTCAAAAATAAAACAATTTCTATTTATGATATTAAAATGAACAGTTTTTTGGTAATTTAACTTTCGAATACTTAATCAGTACGATAAACTATAATATTATGTATGTACATATTATATATGTGTTAAACATATGTCTTTCAGCGTTTTCATTCATCCATAAAATATTTGTTATGTTAATTTTTTTTACTGAATGAAAACAAAATTTAAAACGATAATTCATTTTTTGTAGGTTATATTATCATCACGTACGCACTGAAATCAATTGTTATTATTGTACTCATTAACATTTTATTAAGGTTTTCTACGATACTGAAGGGTATGACACGTGTAAAATACAAAATTATGTATCCGGTGTTGGTCGTAATAATTATTTACAGTACAAAGTATACAAAAATCAATACGTATATACAAATTACCAATAAATAAAACTAGCTTTTTAATGTGAGTTATTTTAAAATAAAGAACATATTTTGCTGTTAGTATCATTTAGTGATAACATAGAAATATATTATGTTTGTAATGTTGGAAGTCTAAATGTATTGTGAAAATCTCTGGATGTTAATAATCATTGCATATATATATATATACATAAACATGCATAATATATATATGTTTTGTTTGGAAACAATTATTATTTACTCTTCAAGTATATTTTTAGTTGGTTGCTTGTCAACGAATTATAAGTATATGTTTTCCCCCTACAAAATTAGTTTTATTATAATTAAGTATTATTAACTATTACTAACTATTTATTACACCGTTTTCGCATATCAATATCTGTATTGTTCATACACCTGTTCTAAATTACTTTAGCCAACTACTAGTGCTGTATTCCAATTATTAATATAATCAATTATTTATGGATAACACGGGTAACTGTATCTGTCTATTCGATATGTGATGATTTATCACTATTGGTGAAGGATAATACAAGCTTGACCACTGTTAGCACATATACGTTAATATATGTACATATATATATGTACGTTAATAGGTTTTACAATATTTAGATTAAATAAGAATACTAAATTAAGTATGATATCAGTGAAAATACTACTAAAATCCATAATATGAAATATGAGGTCAATAGTCGGGGCTCGGATTTTGAAATTAATCAATAAAAACAATAAAACAACCTAAAATTTGAAAGAGGTGTAACTGAATGGCGTTATGCAGAAAGCAGTCATCCCACAAATTGGTGTTTGGAAACAATTTGATGTTTTACAAATATGGTTTTTAACTCGTCACTGGTCGCGTGGGGTATGAACGTACCCTAGTCACATTTAGTCACACTGTGATTCCGGTAAGAAATGTACGCCGGTCACACTTTATTTAAGTACGACTAGTAACGGGCTAATGAAATTCATATAGTTCTATTAGTTTTTGAAACATTGATAAATAGCGCCACAATTAAAATGTTTTAATTGCATTTTGCAAAAAAACATCTTGTATCAAGTATAGTAGCACAATATTTTTGTGGGATGAATGCTTTCTGCATAACGCCTTCAACTGTAGTTGTTATTTGGATTCTTTTTAATATTGTGTAGATGGTTGTATATTATGTGTGTATCAGAGTTGTAAATAAAGGGAGAGTTATGAGGGAACAACACCATTCACTACATAGGCCATTTTTATTACTCAAAATACCATATAGGGATGCACTTAAAGCCTCCAACGGGTATTTTCGTAATAATGCCACAACGTTTTTATTTTGACCTTTCCGGGGCAAACGTTGATATTGTAGACCAAATTTTCAGTTTTAATCAAACGTTGACTGTGCGTGAAATCCAGTGAACATAATCCGATTTCAACGGAAAATCTCCTTCGTGGGAAATTATATGGCTGGTTGATTGTAGTCGTTATACCGATTAGGGTATTATTGCAAGCCACCAAGGACGTATTTCGGACTACACTGGAACAGACACGATCATTAGAATATTATACCGATTACCGTTTAGAAGGGTTAAACTAAAAATATTATTATTATTATTATACAAATCGGCGAGATACTCTTTAAATTATTAATGCCGTCAGCGTTATTCCATTCACGTTTTTTTTTTTATTAACTATGAAAGTACAGCAATATTGTATTAAATGACGAGTAAAGGCTTGACATTATTGGAAAATATATATATATATATATATATATATATTTTTTACACCTCCGTCGAAAGAGAACCCAAACGATGCATCGTATCCGTTTGATTTGTAATTTAAATATATTATTGAAGTTGTTAATAATATTGTATCTTGTTTACTTACAACCCTTTTGGCAATAATAACACCCAGTGCACAATCGTTTAAGGGCCGTAGGTGAGTTGCGGCCCGAAGTGTTGTTTACGATGACGGAGACCGATAAATTACGTTTACGGTGATTTATTTACCCTTTAAAGTGATCCATTCAACACCTAGGGTTAATTAATTTTTTAATTTTTATTTTTTGTAGTGATTTAATATATTGTGTTTTTGGAGTTCAAAAGTTGGGACGGGAAAAGAAGTGCAGTTAAGTCACGCGCGCAGATTAAAATAATACTCCACTCCATCCTTCCTCTCGTTTTTAACTTTAATTCTTTAACAACATCAAAAATAATGATTCAAAACTGGTTATTGTTTTAGTAAATTATTCTTAATTTAAAAAGTTAATAAGATATGATGATACCATTTAAGTTTTAAATGTTTATTTAAAAATAATTAATTTGAGAGAGGGCTCAAAGCATAAAAATTTGTAAAAAATTAAAATCACGTTGTACCTTGGTGTCTCATGGGTAATGTTAATAGGCTGATATGAAGTGGTAATTAATATGTAGCCGAAGCTCTTACGTCTCTCTCATAAACTCGGGCTGTCACTCGTACTCGATTGTTGTTTAAGATACAACTTTGTTACGTTAATATAATTTGTGATCGGAATGAACATTTTTTTTAAAATTTAATTTATAATAAAATATTGAAATCGACGCTACACCAAAGCGCGGTTATTTTTTAACTAGAATACTACCATGACAGTAAGATAAAATCTGGACTTGATAATAATAAGCACGTATAATATTACTATTCTAAATGTGTGTGTGTGTGTGTATGGGTGATATGGAAATAACCATTAAAGTATTTAATTTTGATATATGCGTTGTGCAGGAAATTAAAATGAAATAAGTAACGTTTGAATTGCATACATGTGGTACAT